AGCATCCACGGCTGTATACTCATTTCACCCACCCCCACCAGTCTGATGCCCCTGATATGATGTGATAAAGATGGAAATGAAAAGAGAAAAAAAATTAGTATGGAAAAGTATTTAACCCGCCTCATCCCATGTCAACGTGGATGACAATGTTTCCATTCATATAAAAGCCCCTGAAGGCATCATGCTACAGCCACAGTGTTGTAAGGAACAGAGAAAAGAAAAGCTCATGTGTTTATATTCCTTTAGTTTCTCTTATGATCCGAGGCAGGACCTGTTATTCAGTATATGATAAAATGCGTGATGATGTTTTTTATTTCTTTTTGGAAAATGTGAATACAGTACTAGGTATATGTGTTGTTGACACAATATGTTGATGCTCAAAACAAAAACGGCCAATTCTAATTGATTTTTGATTGGACAGAGCAAGGTCTCTATGCTTGTGTTGTTGATAATAATGTTTGAAGAGCGACCCTCTCCCCTTCCCATGCTACAGCAGCATACTAAACCACTGACCTTCTAAAGAATGCCTGTGTAAATTAAATTGTTTTTATTGTTTTGTTTGTTTATAACTGGGTGAACAACAGGTGTTTCTCTGTATTACAATAAAACAGTTTGTTTAAAAGGAAGATGTTCCGGGGCGTTTTGTTTGTTCAGGTCTACTCAAGCTCCACTTTATTTTTACAGAGCTTTCGAAAAACTCTTTGTCTTCCTTGTTGGATAAAGTTTCCCATGGACAACAAGTCCTGGACTTGCTCAAAAGTTATGCTTTTTACTAAATCAGTACGTATGTTAATTGATTTACTAAGGAAATCTAAATGTAGAATATGTGTGTGTGTGTGTGTGTGTGTGTGTGTGTGTGTGTGTGTGTGTGTGTGTGTGTGTGTGTGTCTGCATGCGTGTTGAGAATGTCCCTATTTACAAAAATGTCCCATGTTCTTTAATTTAACAAAATAAATTATCAAAAAATTAAATTGGACCTAGAGTAGCCACCTTATGTCACCCTTTTACATTAATTTATAATTATAATTAGTGTTATAATTATTATTGTTTTAGGCACGTACTAATACAACTATGTTATTATTGTTATTATTATTATTTTTGTATGATAAATGACAGTAAGTTCTGCCGTCTACATAGATATAGGCCTATGCTATGTTTTTGGGCTGCTGCTCGGCTCGGGGTCGGGTTTCTTCGGAGGGATATCACAATGGGTTTCACGCGCACGGTGACGCGCCGGTAGGCACATTTCCGGGTTCTGGCAGGCCGGCCTGCGGGGAGCGGCCGTCGGCCCGCTGTCACAGGAGCTACGTGACTTCCTTGTTTTACTGGGCGTGGCGGCAGGACTACAGAGTGCGCAGACACTTGGGGGCCATGAGGAGAAGTTGTTTATGGAGGTTAGTGAAGTTCCTCACCGCTTTAGCACTGCTTTTCCTGTCTGCTCACGTCTTGTTCTCCACACCGAGTAAAGCTCCGCCGAAGCCCAGCGCTCTTCCAGCGGAGGAGTACCGCCTCCTGTCCCCTGAGACTTACCGATACCAGCTCAATGAGCCAGCGGTATGCCGCCACAGAAGCCCCTTCCTGCTCCTCATGGTCCCAGTGGCCCCTGGGGAGGCTGTGGCGAGGCAAGCCGTCAGGTCAACATGGGGGGCTTCTGCTCCAGGCCGGGACACCCTCACTCTGTTCTATGTGGGGCTCCCTGAGGGGGGGCGGGGCACCAACACCCAGGCCGAGCTGGAGGAGGAGAGCAGGAGACATGCTGACATCATCCAGATGGACTTCCAGGACAGTTACCACAACCTGACCATCAAGACCATGATGATGATGCACTGGCTGTCCACCCACTGCCCAAACGCCTCCTACGCCATGAAGGTGGACGCTGACATCTTTGTGAATGTGTTCCTCCTTGTGAGGAGGCTGAGGGGCTCCCCCAGGCAGGGCTTCATCACAGGCTCATTGATCAGTGACGGCCGACCCAGGAGGGACAGGAACAGCAAGTGGCATGTGTCAGAGGGACAGTACCCGGACGACAGCTTCCCCCCATATGTGTCTGGAGCTGGGTATGTGTTCTCCGAAGACCTGGCCCCCAGGATATCCTGGGCCTCCAGGTTTGTCAGGATGATCCCACTGGAGGACGTGTACGTGGGGCTGTGTCTGCGTGTGCTGGACGTCCGGCCCGTGTACTCCCGCAGCCTGACCCTCAGGAACCTGTTTGAAATTGGACAGCTGGAGTACGACAGGTGCACTTTTGCCAAACTGGTCATTGTGAACGGATTCAAGCCGGCACAGCTGCTGCATGTGTGGCCCGACTTCTCCAGGGGCCACAGCAGCTGCTGACTGCACTTTATTAGACTGCTGCTTCACACTAGTCCAGACAAGCGATTATGAGAGAGGAGAGATAGCCATGAGATCCACCTACCAGGGGTAGTCATTACATTTGTAATTATCAGAATCAGAACAACTTTATTTATCCAATAATTGGGTTTCGTTGTTCAATTTCAGAATGAAATAAAATAAGAGGCGATTGAAATCTAATATAAACATAAAAAGTAAGAATAAAACAAGATTTTAACTGAATCAGACCCATAACAGATTTTATTTGAAAAGGCCTATTTCTGATCACAAATTCGATGTATCTTTTCAGATTCTGTTAGTATATTTTAATTGAAAATCCTGGTTAGTTTAATTCCAGGTTTCAAGGTAACATGACTCTTTACATATTATTAAGTCTGTTTCATATCAAATCATTCTTCAATTACAAAAGCAGAAAGTGTGCAGCTTTATGCTTTTCTGTCATCATAAACTGAACATATTCATGGTTACATTGATCAGGTTTGTCATGTAAGACAAAGAAAAGCAAGAATGCTTATTAACTTTGTGTTGCTTGACAGGTTTCAGCTATCAGGGAATCAAATCAAGGCCTTACTTTATAGAGATAATAAAGAATGTAGTTCTCACTAATCAATCAACAACACATGACCACGTCTTAGTCGGTCAGTCAACCAGAAAGTATGCTGTTTTTTATTCCATTCAGTTTTACTAGACAAAAACAGGGTGCAATCACATCGGTATGCTGGTAATGAATCTGACAAGCCATAATCAATATAGATAATGTATCTGTAAAGAGCAGTTGATGCTAACTCTAATTTATGAATCCAAAGTGCTGAAAGCCTCACCCTCAGAGTCCTTACACCAAAGACTATTTAAACATGTCTATTTTAGTATTGATGCTTTTTTTCTCTAGCTAGTGCCTGCTATTTACTATGCATCCTATGATATGTGCCTACTGTATTTATGTTTGTGTTGTAGTTTTGCAAGACAGCCAGCAGGTGGCAGTATGTGCCAGCAGATGACATGTCCTTCTGTTTACCCAGTGCCTCATGCAGAGAGATGGTGATCACCATTATGTATACAATGATCGGGTTTGCCCATTTATTTTTTAATTTTTGTATATGTTATGTTTGACAGTTTGATAATGCTGACTGTGATATGCTGTTCACCAATATGCCCCCTACATACCTCTTCACTAGATATTGACGCGATATTTCTTAACGCATACTTGTTTTAAGTGAGTCAATTTATAATAAACTATCAGTGAAATTCAGTGGATTTCTGCTGCTGCTACTTGGTCATAACTGGAAACTTTTTTGTTTGTCATGCTGGAATAAATGCTGTTTCCATAAGGTATTATTTAGTAGAAACATAATACTTTAACAAACAGGAACAATACAAATACAACAACTCTGTGATACACTTCAGTACGTTTTATCATTAAAATATACTACAGTTAAATACTCCTTGTAATGACAACTTTCAAAGTGTTTAGGGATTTTTTTAAATCTTTGCATTTACATGTATAACAAATGGTGTTCTGTATTACATATCTGATAAAGCATATAATTCTTAATGATATTCAAATGAAAGAGCTTCTATGTCACGCTGCACTTCATGGCATAAACAATGCGTTTGAAGTTAAAACTTAAAGGGGCCCTATTATGTATTCTCAGGTTCATATTTGTATTCTGTGTCTCTACTGGGACATGTCTCCATGCTTTAATGTTCAAAAAGCTCTTTCTTTTTCTCATACTGCCTGTGCTGCAGCACCTCTTTTCACCCTCTGTCTGAAACCAGAGCCCAGTCTGCTCTGATTGGTTAGCTGGCTGGCTCTGTTGTGATTGGCCAACTGCTTAGAGATTTCTCGCCCCTAAAGTTGGCTAAACACCAACCCGATTTTGGGAGTCAGAGGCCGTCAGAGGCAGTCGGGCATTCGCGGCGCCCTACTCAGGTTGGTACGCGTTCTTTGGTCTCAGGTGGGTGTGTAGCGGCCTTTAGCCTCTCACTTACAATGTGTTGGAGTGGTAGCCAATAGAAGCGCAAGTGTTACGCATTGATGTTACCATGTTACAGAAGTAAACAAAGGAGTCCAATGGAGGCGTTTCCAGACAGTGTCTGAACCACCGACTGACTGAATTACAGATTCACTGATTTATTGAATCACTGACATTCTGACTCACTGATTCGCTGAGACTGAAAGACTCACTGTCCATCACTGGTGAAAAGGAACTTTTTAGCTGGCAATACTTCTTTACTTTTACTTAAGTAACATTTTAATTCAGTACTTTGTCTTGTACTTACGTATTTTCAGACCAAAGTATTTCTACTTTTAGGATCTAAGTACTATTTCGACCACTGCTGTCAATCAATATGATTAAGTTTGACAGACAGATTCCATGTAGCTCTCAGTGATAGCACCATAGAGTAAAGTGGGTTCACAAAAGGAATATATAAAAACTGGTATAAAAAATACTGCTATCAACAACTCAGCCTGCCAAGTGAAAGTGTAAACCCGCAGCTCAGACTGGCAGGCTGCCTCCCCCCCCCCCCCCCCCCCCCCCCCTCTCTCTCTCTCTCTCTCTCTCTCTCCTCTCTCTCTCTCTCTCCTCTCTCTCTCTCTCTCTCTCTCTCTCTCTCTCTCTCTCTCTCTTTCTCTCTCCTGGGGTGGAGCTCCATCCACCAACGCGCTGCGGCTCTAGTTCCTAAGACAACCCATAAAACACGCACTGCAGCCCCGCGAGCTGAGCTGCACGACTCCGCTGAGAGGAACGACTTTGAAGCACCGACACGACACGATGCATAAGAGCTCACCGACGGTATAAAGCGACCACAACACCGGGCCTGAACCTGTGTGAGTACCCTGCCTGCTGTCTTCTGTGTCGGGGAAACTTTCAGATGACAGTCACAAGTGTAAAGAGCTGTACAGCGAGTCTGCTCACCATGCTGAGGAGGTGGAGGAGACCAGGGAGGGAGAAGATCTTAGATATGTTGGAGAAAAAGTACCAGAGAGTATAAATACTCTGTTGCAAGTAAAAGTCCTGTATTCAAAATGTTACTCAAGTAAAAGAACAAAAGTATTAGCATCTAAAATACTTTAGTACCACAAGTAGTCATTGTGCAGATTGGTCCATTTCAGAATAATATATATGATATGTTTTATAATGATTGATCATTAAAGTGTTCTCAAAGCTGGTAAAGGTGCAGCTAGTTTGAATGACTTTGTATACTGCAGGGTAGCTTGTGGATTTACTCCAGGTGGAATTAAAGTCTGATGTAAGAGTTGATTATATTTCACATCATTCATCCAGATCTGGACAGTAACTAACGGTAGGCCTACTAAATATATGTAGAGGAGTAAAAGTACACACTTTTCCTCCGAATTGTAGTCGGGTAGAAGCACAAAGTAGCATACAATTTAAATACTCAAGTAAAGTACAAGTATCTCAAAAGTGTACTTAAGAACAGTACTTGAGTAAATGTACTTAGTTACTTCACAACTCTGGAAGAGACTTATCACTTTAACAACCAGCTTAAAAATGACTGACTTTACAACTGACCAGCTTCCTTACAGGAATTCCTCCAGGCACAAACTCGTATGAGCAGTGATGGAAGAAGTATTCAGATCCATTAATTACTTAAAAGTACCAAACAATGTTATAAAAACTCAACTACAAGTAAAAGCACAGAAGTATTATCAAGAAAATGTACTCAAGGTTCTTTATTTTGTCATACAAACATAGCTACAGTGTAGTTATGCCTGAAAATCTTAGGTCACAGGCTTCTCCAACAGTGCAACACAATAACACAGATAAACAGAAAAATATAGTGCAAGTAAATACAAAAAGAAAAATAGTTTAAAAAGTGAAATAGTGCAATAAGAGTCTATATGCAAGTTATTGGAATGATATATATCAGAGAAATAGATACATAATTACTAAGTAGCAGATGAATGTTATGGATGTTGTTTCAACAGTTCAGGTGTTTAACAGATGTTGTTTCAGCAGTTCAGTTGTTTAGCAGTCTTATTGCCTGTGGTATGAAACGGTCTCTGAATCTGGTGGTTTTAGTCCGGATGCTTAAAGGTGGGGTAGGCAAGTTTGAGAAACCGGCTCGAGATACACTTTTTGTTATATTACATGGAATGCTCTTAACATCCTGATAGCAATGAATATCTTAAGTGCTTTGACAAAAAATCCATAAAAAAATATCATCTGTGGAAGCCGTAATACTGTAAAAAGCACGACCAATCATTTTAGCCGGCCCGGCTAAAATAACTGGATGGCCTACCTGCCTGTCAGCCTTCCATCTGTGCACAAACTTATCTCGTGCCCTCATTGGTCATGTGCGCGTTCGTGTGTGTTGGAGGAGGGGCTCTGTAAGGAAGTGGCAGATTTTTTCCGGCTGTGTATTTTCAAATTCTAGCGCAATGCAGTTCGGCAAAGTGTGACGTCACCCCATTCAAAGTGAATGGGCAGAAGCGTTGAAGCTTCAACGCACGCCGCCGTGTGGATGGGCCGTTAGCATCTTTCCGCTCATTGTTTTGGTTCTCACCATTAAATAAGGGATAATATGCAGCAAGCTGTCATTTTTGGAAAGCAGATTTTATCAATAGTTTGACACATCATATTGCTAAACCTGATTTTATTGATTTAAAAACGATTGTTCTTCTTCTGATAGGAAACATTTCATGTTCTTGTAGCAACAGCTGGAACAGCAGCTACAACCAGGTTTTCTTAAAATGACGGCAATGCTGATTGAGGGGTTTTTCTGCCTCGTAACCAAGTCTGTTCATATTTTCTTTTCCATTAACCAGTCTTTAAACACGGCCAGAGCCCATACCGTGTTCTCTTACTGTTTACTTTTTGTGTTTACTTCCTGTCTGTCTTCTTCTGCCATCCCTTTAGTGTTGACTTATTATCTGTCTTCTGCTCATTTATTTGATGTCCAGCTCCCTATCTTTTATCCTCTTTCCTTGTCTTGCGCTCTTTTTCTTTTCTTTACTGGGGACAGTTTAGCCATCATGAATCCAAAGTTTTGTGCTATCCACAAATAGAAACCCCTAAAAGTATTCCATTGTGTTTTCTGATGGAGTAACAATAGACCAAATGCATTTGTTTGGACATAGCTGCCATTTAATTGACTGGACTTCTTTCTGCTGATTGATATGACTGCACATGGTCCCCTGCGATCCAGATATAGATATAGAGAAATTGTCGACTACAGAATGTCGAAATTGACCAATCAGAACTGAGTATTCAAATAAGACGTGTAATAATCAACGTTGTTTCCAGCTGGCAGGACCCTTATACAGTAACATCACTGAATGTGACCTGCTAGCAGCAAACAGACTGACACAGTTAGAGACTAGCTGCTGATCACATCTTTTCTCAGGAGTTTGGTTGGACAACGTGACAACTTGCAGCTATTTTTTTTAACTGACACATAGCAAACATATTGCAGGGTATGAATTATTGCTTTCTCAGCTAAATAAGTTGTGGGGGGCTCAACAGCACCCCTCCGATCAGTTTTAATCCATCCCTGTCTTTGTCAGTTGTCTTAGATTGTTTTGTGAAAGTAATGGATATCTGTTCAGACCAAGATGTGAGAAGTTCAGTCAGACAACTCACGTGTTTCTTAATATGTTTATTAGAAGCAGCATATAGTTTGAGTTTGGCGTCTAGGCTCGGGCCTCATCACTCCACAGATTTACAAAGAACATTGAGTGATGATTAGATAACTATCCCCCGAGCCTACAGGTGGAAGCTGGGGTGGTGGTGGGGTGGTGGTGGAGCAGGCGAGCAGCAGCAACATGAACACAGCAGCAGGAACATGAACATGAACGTAGCAATAGCAAGTGAACACAGCAGTGCAGCAGCAGCATGAGCGAGGCAGAGGCAGGAAGACCTGGCAGCTTAAATAGAGCGGCATGTTTAGGAGAATGTGTTTGGTTGGTTGTAAGAGGGACGAGGGGTGCGTCACGTGTTAATGTATCATTGGTGCTCCAGTTGACTGCCTGAACTAGCTCGCAGGCTTCGCCCCATTTGTGCTGCCATCCTGAAAGGTTTACACTCTGTGTTTGACTGTGTCTGCGATGTCTGATCGTCATGTGTCCTCATGTTAGTTTTCAGTGTTGCCCTTACAGTGTGTGTTGTTGTGGTAAAAGTCCTGTCTGTGCTGTGTGCTCATGTGCTGTTGCATGTATGTGGTTCCTCCTCAGTTTCTGCACAGAGGCTTCCACCATCCTCGCAAGATGCATATGAATAGCTTATCAAATCAATGGAGTAAGTATTGAGACATTTTAATTCATATTTTGTTCATTTTGTTATGTACTAACCATGAGAAATATGTACCTGAGACGTGTGCAGGGCTGCAGCGCTTCATGTCAGCCACACAGCAGTTACAGTGTGTCTGTGATGAGGTCACTGTGTGCAATAATCCTGTTTAGCTCTGCTCTGTTTGCCTATTTAAACGTGCTGGTGAGAAGAGTCCTGTTACCCTAATCCTCCATTTCTAACTTCCTGTACAGGCCAGAGCTTTTACAAATAATAAATAATAATACATATTTATTAAAGAGGACCTATTCAGCAAATGTTCAGGTTCATATTAGTATTAAGTGTCTCTATTGTGTCATGTCTCCATGCTTTTAATGTTCAAAAAGCTCTTTATTTTTCTCACACTGCCTCTTTTCACCCTCCGTCTGAAACCAGAGCCCAGTCTGCTCTGATTGGTTAGCTGGCTGGCTCTGATGTGATTGGTCAACCCATTAGGGATGTCCTATGCTTAGCATATCACGTACAATATGTTGGAGCGCTAACCAATATTAACGCGGGTGTTACACAGTGATGTCACTATGTCACGGAAGTAAACAAAGAAGTCCAATGGATGGAACTTGCAGACCATTTACATGCACACAAATCTTTATAACACACAGGAAAGGGAAAACCCCCTAAAGCATAACAGGGCCCCTGTAAAGGAATCATCTTTTCTTTATGACAATGATAAGAGAGAATACCTATTGATGGTCATGCCTCTCCATAAAAGGATGAACCCAGTGTTTTTCAACCTGCATTTCCAAACCACCCCCTCAGTGGACGGGTTTTGAACTTGTTGCATTTCTTTTGACACAGCAAAAACATTCTAGCAAACCCACAGGGGGTCCTGTGTTCTGGTTTACACACCTTTATTTACTGTTGTCAGGGACTTTACATCCCTAAAACAAAGAATCTGTCTGTGAGTCCATAAATACTAAGCACCAATACAGCTCCCTATTTCTCCATGCTTCAAATGCTGCATTCAGGAATGTCTTTTGGAACACAGACTTGTTTTTTTCCTTCATAGCATGAACTTGACAACTTGAACTTTGGGAATGTGCTGTTTTCACATTATGCTTGACCTCCAACACTGTTTGCATCCCACTCGCTTGACTTTACAAGTGAGATGTTATTTTCAAAAGGTAATAGAGTGCCACAGTGACGCGTCCTAAAACCCGGAAGTAAGCTGCGCATGGGTTCCTTCGACAAAAAAGCAATGCAATTTCTCCATAGGATTTTGGAAAATAGCTGGAAATAAGGTCTGTGGTTGAGACACATTGAAGAGACGGATCACGTTTTGTTCAGTCGGATAATCTCCACATGTCTACCCTACTTTTATCATTTTCGAATCATACATTTAATCGATAGATTTATGATCGATAGATTTATGATTATAAAATTATTAAAGTATAATAAAATATAGAACAAAGTGTGTTTCTCTAAAATACCCCTAAAGGTATCTTTGCTAGTTAACTGGCCCACTGGATATATGAGTATAACCATGCAATACAGGTGTTAAAATCTCAAGGCAGACCTCATTTAATGCCTTTTGGAGTATTAAACAATCTAAGAGGGGTGGGATAAGTGTTATTTTTTTCATTTAATAAGCATTTATTTTATCCTCTGTAGATCTTTAGTTACGATGGAATTGGTACTTGGTGATCTGATAGGAGTAGAAGGCTTCTGGAAATTGGAACAACTGGATTGTAGATTTGACCATATATTCGATGACAGTCAAAATCCAAGGGGTTATTTATTGTCATTGTACAATACAGATTTGAGCACATCATGCAGTTAAAGACATTTTGATTTATTTTTTTGCTACAAAAATAAATTAAAAAAAGGCATAAAAGTACATATAAGGTGTCCATATGTCCGACGTCGCTGGGACTTTAATACCTGGCAGGTGTCAGCTGTTGTGTTTGAATCATATTTACTGTGTAATTAATTAATTTCTTAACTTGCTAAACTTACATTTATATTCCCTTTACTCTATGTTATTAATAAATACATATATTACATTTCACCTATCATGCAAAATCCACTTGTTCATGTCTTTTATACATCAACATGTGTCCCCTCTGTGTAAAGAGATTCTGAAAGTTTCAGGAAAAAAGATTAGCTCACTTTCTGTCCTGATCCCTTTATATAAAAACCTGTCTGAAAATGAGCTGATCAGATTTTGTCCACTTCATGATGTCATAACGATTTTTTGGCTTGTGTAACCATTAGCCAATCACCAACCAAGGTAACCCCCCGTCAATAACTATCGCCCCTAGTGCAGTCAATGAAGGAGTGAGGTATACGAGATATGTACATTGCGCAAATCCTGAACAATTTAAGGATTTTTTTAATAAATTGCCGAACCTAACTTGAACAAAACTACCTTGGCCCTAACTTCCCAAACTTGATGAGTTAGGCTTTGACTATAGAAAATGTGGTTTCACCAGCAGACCTCATCCAAAAAAAGGGGAGAGGAACAGTTTTTGTATTAGCAAGATGACAACCATTGCCTTATGTTCTCCTATCCTTACTTTCTGACTAAGAGCAGCCCTCAGTTACAAAGCAACCACAGACTCTAGGTCAGTGTTCACGCTCAACACCAGTTTAAAGAAGCCTGTATCATCTGGCCTTGACAGAAAACGTCTCGAAATCCTCGGACTATGAGCTTCTGTTGGCAGGTTTGGTTTCGCATTGACGCACGGACCATGAGGCTGGATCACTTTCTGTTACCATGCACTTCTGCGTGCCTCAGGAATCTCTCTCAGTTCTGATCCTTTATACTGAGTAGAGACTCCTGATGCTCGTAATCTTTTTTTGAATGTGCCTTGATTTGAAAATAAATATGTGGTTCATGTTCTGCAACAGTGGCGTCACTCTGCATTGCTACATCCCCCACCAATTGTGGTCCAGTGGGAAGCCACAGCTATGTGTGCTCGAGCTCTGGTCGTCCCTCATTGATCCGATGTCACTCGATCCCCCACAGTACTGATCCGTCCTGCCAGCTCTGCCTCCAGAACCCTGCAGACCAAGGCTTTGGGGCAGCTCTGACAGGAACGTCACTTCGCTTTCGAAAATCCATGAAGCAATTAACAGCTACTGTGGCTTGGCTCAGGCTAGTTTTAGTGTTCAGCTGTAATGCAAGTGGCCCCAGCCCGACATGCCATGACTGGAGGGCAGTGGAAGTCAGATTGATGATCTGCCGTGGAGCAGTGCCCAGTCCTTTACATACTTGAGTCCTGAAGTCACTGAGGCTCAGAGGATGCTGTTTCCACACCCTGACTCTCAACACAATCCCAATTCTTTAGTGGCATTTAGTTCCTGTTTTGTCATTTCTTGGACAGAACCCATGTTCCTGTGAGTGTCAGCATATGTCTCCTGGGATGGTAGATTGTCATCAAGTACACTAACACATACCTGGTGTTAAAAGAGCAGATTGACTCACTGTGACCTTTATCTTTTTGGCTTAAAGTGTGTTTTCTTCTGTGAGACTGTGTGGAAGGAGTAGCAGTATGAATGTATAAACACACACTAGCTCTCTGCTTTGATTTTACGACAATTCCCAGTCTGATCCTCCAGACCATACTCAGAGAAAATCCTGAGGGACCTAGCTCTTGGGAAAAATGTTGTTTTGGTGCTAACAGATTTTCGCTTTGAAATTTCATCAGCAGCATTCCTTATCAGCGGGGAGGACGTCAGCGTGGTGAAGGCCAGCCCTGGTATTCCTGTTGATGGTGTGTGTGCCAGACGCAGGTCAACCTCACAGTGACTTGTGATAGTACAAGTCCCCCCCCCCACCCACACAGGTTTCCCTGCATGCTGCCTGTGTAAACTTCACATCCCATGTCGGGAAGAATCACAAAGCTGGAGCTGTTGCAGAATCACACCTTGGCTCACGTGCAAGAAATCTGAGTCAGTGACAACACAACAGCTAAATGAATCCTTTGTGAATCTACAGACTGTTTTAAAAAGGCCCTATTTTGCTTCTTCAATTACGTTTCTTTTATATAAATCTGCTTCCCGATGTAATTCAATGAGAAAAAGTGTTTTGGGGCCCAATGGCATCGACACTTAAGATGGAATTCCACCATTTGGCCACTACGATATTAACCTAGTGCTCTTCTTGGGGCTTGGTATCCAAAGACATGCCTCACAATAATACTAATGTGCTTCTGCTGAATGTGCAAATAGTCCATTGTCTGCTTTCATACAAGACATATGCACTTTGTAATGGAATACCCTTGCTTTTTTGTATTTATCCAATCAAATCCACGTTTAAAAGTTTTATCAAGAAATCCAAGTAAAAGACCAACCAGGAATCAGTTTCTCAATACTTTTTGACCTTCGACTGCTAGCTAGCAATCATGGGGGGTAAACGATGATGATGATGATGATGATTTCAACACACATTCTCAAAAGAAGAACACAGCTCTATGGAAAATACTTGTTATTGATCCATAGGTGGTTTTAGGCTTTGATTTGTTAAAATAAGAACATTTAGAATACTTTCAACAATGGTTCCCAGTTATGAGTCCTAAAGCCCAGAAATGACTTGACATTTGACCACTTCCGGTTCCCATGTCTCACAGTCAATGGTTTGTTGAACGTGTTTTTTGGTTAGACGCCAAAAGTCTGGTCTGTGGTTGACACAAGCTGAGGAGATGATCACGTTTTGTTTTACGACATAAAATACTTCAGTAAATACCCTACAGGTGAATCTCTGAAGCTTGAACACATCATAAAAATGATGGTTGCTAACAAGGAAATAAATAAACTACTCTACATCATCACACCAACACAAGGCCATCTTTAGCTTAGCGGTGGTGACGGGCAGCCATGGGACAGTGATGTAGTTTCTATCATTACAAACGTTTTATTCCTGCCGATTACATTAACCTTTAAAAAAATCACAAAGTGGTGTGAATACGTGGAGATTATCGTTCTGAACGAAGTATCATAAACTAGTGTTGGCTACAAAGTTTATTTTCTGCAATATACCGAAATCCAATGGGGAAATCCCTTTGTTTTTTGTTGTTGCCCTTGCAATGCTAACTTCCAAGTCTGCCTAAAAAAATACGTCATCACTGCACCACTCTATTGTGATGAATATACTTTTTCTTACAGCAGAGATTGTCTTATATCATTTATGTGTGCTTTTCCTATTAAGATGGCAAATGTCAGATTAATGGATTGATCAGGAAAATATATTTTTCAGACATCAAAACAACATGAATATTGCAAGGTAGACAATAGCAGGCGAATACCGGTCAAATCCAAAGTATGGTGAAGCTTGTCATGCTGCCAGGTTGACTGCCAGACGTGCCAGTATAGGAGCCTTTCTGTTTAGTCCCAAGCCCAGTGAACAAAAGCTGCTTGACAAAGCTGGGTTCATTCCCCCGGCTTGATTGACAAAACCCAGCCAATTGTGTTAGCGTATCAGTGTGTGCTTTCCACCGGCGTCATTGTAAAGGCGACAGAGGCTGTTGTCGTGGTGAAAACAAACTCTGACCTTCAGTGTAGGCACAGCAGTCCTCTGTGGCTGAATGAGGTCAGGACCACCCCCTGTATGAGGAGTAGAGAGCACTGTGGGAGGTGACGTTTCTGCGGTGCTACAGAGGGGCTTTAATGCTCCCAACATTATGCAATTCTTTGTTGAATATATGTTATGAGTGAAAGAGGCACACATTTCTTTGAGTGGACATCCTAATTGCAATTAAAATGTATCTACATGTGTTAATGTGTGTGTAAGCTCTGAGGGCACTCTGGACTGTGTGTGGATGTGTGTTCACTTACAGCCTTTGTATGCTTCAGTCCTGCCTCTATTTCAGACTCAAATTATTCACCTTCATCTTTGTTTCACTCTGAAGTGGAGGCACTTACCCTCATCCACGCAGTTAATACGTGGGAGAGTGAAATTAGACCTTTAGTGAGCCTCTCTTCTATTCAGGGTCCTTTCATACTGTTGAATGCAAATTGCCCTAAAGGTTGTCCTTTTGTGTTGCCGTGATCGGTTAGCAGAGGTGTGCAAGGAAACTGTTGTTGGGGGAGATATTAAAGCAGATACAGAATATACATATTTATAGTGTGTGTTTTTATCCTGATGTGCCTGTCCCTTTTTAGTTGAAGTCCCATCAAAGGGGCCCTTTTGTGCTCATTCTCAGCTTCATATCAATATGTAGTGTCTCTACTGGGACATGTCTCCATGCTTTAATGTTCAAATCTTGTCATCTTTACATGTGGCAGCCTATATGTTTCATTAGCCATCTGTGTGTTAACTGTGGCGCTGTGGTCTATGTTACAGTACATTTGATAATTGTGACCCGCTCTATCGAAATCAGTCGGAAGTCGCAACGGCTCATTTCAAAATAAACGTGGATTTGCGTAAAAAAATAGTTTTTCGGGGTTCGGGTGTTTTGTTTGATTTTAAATAATCAAAGTCTTGGCTTTCAGAATATAAAACTTTTATTTCCAAAATCACACGATAAATACATTTTTGAAGCTTGTAAAGGGAAGATGACAGCTCTCACTCGCCACTCTGCTGTTCCACAGCGCCGCTCCCCCTCCCTCCGGCTGAAATTATGAATGTAAGGCTTTTTCTCAAAATGATGACTCGGTGACAGTCATTATATATTGTGACATATTTTGCTTAATATTTGGAGTTCAACAACAATCCTGATATGATTAGAAAGCTAGGAATCTCCTCTTTCCAACAGTGTACTGTATACAACTCTGTCTTCGGGTCAATGCGACTGATTTCGATGGAGCAGGTCACAATTAGTTTATTGACTTGGGTCCAGGGGGCCAGAGACTGGGGATTGACTAGTGTTTTTGTCTCGTCCTGTCTCTGGATATGGGCCAGCTTCCTGCCGGGCAGCAACAGTTATAGAGTTATATAATATAATTTAATTATATAAAACAAATATCCAGCTCCAGCAAGCATATAGACTACCAATAAAAAACAATGTGCTGATGAATCTTAATAAAAGATATAATGCCTCTAGAGTTTTTTGTAAGAGTTTAGCTCTCATGGGTGCCTACCTCCACACACTCACACGATGATTGTTCTTCGGTCGGTGCATTGGTGTACTGGAGTAGATTATCGGCATAGGCCTTGTTGTTTTGGAGGGTGGGGTCAAATGCATTCTGACTGTAAACAAACATCTCGAGAGTTTGAGTGAAGGCGAGCCCAGACCGCCCTCACTAGGAGATCACTGATGATCACCTACGCCAAAAGCAACCAATCCATGGTCTGAAATGTTTCGAAACTGACTCAAAGTGAATACGTTCTCCACCTTTGATTTATTGAGTGATTCTTTTTACAGCTTGCATTTTCTGTGAATCATGAAAATGAATGAATAATTCCAGCTCAAGAAAAAAGTCCTGGTTTGTCTCTATAGTCCAGTGGTCAGAGGTTATATGGAGAAAAGAACCCTAAACAGAGAGTCCCAGGGTTCATTTGCGGCCTCAAACTGTGCTGCATGTTATTTAGCTCCTGTGTTTCCCTGTCTTCAGACTAACCTGTGTCAATGTGTCCGTACTTTCCCAGCGGACATCACCAGAATGTGTGATGTGGACGTGAACCCCGAGCCCACCAGTCCCACCCTGTATGGCGAGTCTTCCGACAAGTACTACCATGAGGACCGCTGGCAGAAGCTCCGCACAGCTGTCAGAAAACTGGAGTTCTGGGAAAACTTTACTGCTGAGCTGATCGGGACTGGCTTCTTCTCCAAAGTCTATAAGGTACTCTCTCTGTTCTCTCTATGTGTTGCCTTGTTGCCGGCCTACGTGTAAGCTGCCATCAAAGATTGCTTTGTTCCAGACACACTAATTGGAACATTCTTGCGCATTCCATGATTGGCCCACCAGCTTTGGAGAACATAGGGCGCAATACTCAGCCGAGGCGAAGACCTTACATAATTCCTAATGTGTCACCAGTGCAAGAGTGGAGCTGACTTTTCACACATTTAGGGTTTGTCAGAATCAGAAACGGGTTTATTGCCAGGTAGGTTCACACGTACGAGGAATTTGACTTGATGTCATGGTGCATACATAAAATATAAAACAAAAATGTAAAAAAGTACGCAGAAAGCGAACTATATTAAGAGCACTAATACAAATATTGTAAGATAGCAATAAAATAAAGCAGTCATTTACATCGAAATAGAATGCAATAATTTATATTATAAAATATGTGCAGTAAGCAATATTTAAACATTGTGTGCATTAATGTAATGCATAGAGTCTGCGTTGTGGCTAAGGTGAAGTGTCAGTGGGGGGGGCCGGGCCTTGTTTAAGAGGCCGGTAGCGGAGGGGAAGAAACTGTTCAGGTGGCGAGAGGCTTTGCTCCTGATGGAGCGCAGCCTCCTACCAGAGGGGAGGGGGGTGAACAGTTTGTGTCCAGGGTGGGAGGGGCCGGCCACTATCTTCCCTGCCCGCCTCAGGGTCCTGGAGGCGTGCAGGTGGTGGAGGGATGGCAGATTGCAGCCGATCACCTTCTCTGCAGAGCGGATGACACGCTGCAGCCTGCCCTTATCCTTGGCTGTGGCTGCAGCGTACCAGATGGTGATGGAGGAGGTGAGGATGGACTCCATGATGGAGGTGTAGAAGTTCACCATCATCGTCTTTGGCAGGTTGAATGTCTTCAGCTGCCTCAGGAAGAACATCCTCTGCTGGGCTTTTTTGATGTTCTGCTCCCATTTGAGGTCCTGGGCGATGATGGTCCCCAGGAAGCGGAAAGACTCCACAGCAGTGACTGGGGAGTCACACAGAGTGATGGGGGCGGGTGGGGCTGCACTCTTCCTAAAGTCCACAACCATCTCTACTGTCTTGAGAGCATTGAGCTCCAGGTGGTTGTCCCTACACCAGGTCTCCAGATGGTCCATCTCCCACCTGTAGGCAGACTCCTCCCCACCAGAGATGAGTCCGATAAGGGCGGTGTCATCTGAACTTCAGGAGCTTGACAGACTGGTGACTGGAGGTGCAGCTGTTGGTGTACAGGGAGAAGAGCAGAGAGGAAAGAACGCAGCCTTGAGGGGAACCAGTGCTGATGGTCCGGGGGTCAGAGACGTGTTTCCCCAGCCTCACGTGCTGCTTCCTGTCAGACAGGAAGTCTGTGATCCACCTGCAGGTGGAGTCGGGCACGTGCAGCTGGGAGAGCTTGTCCTGCAGCAGAGCCAGGATGATGGTGTTGAAGGCAGAGCTGAAATCCACAAACAGGATCCTGGCATAGGTTCCTGCTGTGTCCAGGTGCTGGAGGAGGAAGTGAAGGGCCATGTTGACAGCATCGTCCACAGACCTGTTGGCTCTGTAGGTGAACTGCAGGGGGTCCAGGAGGGGGTCTGTGATGGATTTGATGTGGGACAGGACAAGGCGCTCAAAGGACTTCATAACCACAGAGGTCAGGGCGACGGGTCTGTAGTCGTTTAACCTGTTAAGCCCCATAGCCCCCGCCTGAGCGAAAAAATGCTAACGCACTTAGCACAGAACTCTAGGTATAAATCAGTGTAAGAAAAAGTTTTTAGAGAGTACTTGTCCATGGACAAGTGAGTTTGGCAATTTACTTGTCCGAATACATTTCGGCATCGTATTTTACATTTTCCCACGGTTTTTACGACACTGCTAACGTAAGTGAGCGGTAAGATTTTACTGCATCACACATAGGGTTGGGTATCGTTTGGATTTTAACGATTCCGGTTATGCTTTTCGATTCCGGTTCTTTTCGGTTCTCGATTCCGGTTCTTTGAGAGGGTAAAAATAAGTCCCATGACAAACTGGGAGAAAAATATATTTATGAAAACATTAAGTCAAATCTGTATTCCTATTTACAAATCACTTCATACCGTTTAATTTTGTTACGGTTATTGAATACAATTATATATAAATAATTGTTTAGTTAGTTCTAAGTGGTGCAGTTTGAGAATGTACAATTGGCCCAGTCTCCTCTGATGTTACACTGCGGTTTATCGATTCCGATTCCAATTCTGCTTATCGATTCCGGTTCTTATCGATTCCCCGTTTCGATTCCAAAATTGTAAAAGAAAGACGTCAAATGTTTAGATAGCAAAAATATCTTTATTTTTTCAAGCTTTTAACTGACATTTTTATAAAAAAAAAAAATGCACAATAGCTGTGCTTTATTTCAACTGAGGTAGCAGCAGGAAACCTACTGACATAAGTTTTATAACAGTACCTGGCTTTTACTGTTCAAGTACCTTACTATCATCACACTTTTTTTTAACCTTGCATGCCTAACTTACCTAACCTAGCTTCGACAACCGAGAAGGGATGTAGCCCTTTGCTTTGACAACAAATGCTGTTACCGCTCTGTGAAACTCCTCTGTTTTTCTCTGGTCAGCTTTCCTTTTAATGCCAAAGAGAACGGTGTGTCGCGGCTAGCTGTACCTGGCACTTCTGGACATGCAAGCGGCGGGTCCGGGGTGCTAGTGCTGGCTATTGATGCCATACTCGGGCTCGGACACCGCAAGCCATTAAAGACTGTACATTATTTTTATCTCGATGCTGTGCTGTCTTAAATGTTTGCTTAAATTAGAAGTGCAACCGGACGAACAAGCTATTAGCTTGACACAGGCATTGCACTTTGCCTTGCCTTTCTCTTTTTGAGTGTAGTGGAGCCACACTTTTGAGCGTTTACCGCGATCCATATTTGGTGTTATGAGGTGACTGAGCCCGAGCCGTGCATGCTGCTGGGTATCTAAACAAATCAAATCACACGCTGCTGTTCCGTTGATGCATGACGTTGCCACGTTACTACAGGTCCTTACAGATAGCTACGTAGCCTTAGCCTACGTCCGTGCAGATATGTAGGCTTTCTTTGCAATACTAAAGGGTTAGTCTACCGCGTTTAGGAACCGTTAAGCAGAACCGAAATTGTGTATTTTGTATGGGTACCCAGTACCCGGCATTTTCTTATCGGTTCTCATCTGGAACCGAGTTTCGGTTCCCAACCCTAGTGGAGGTGGAGACATTGTCAGGGCCAGCCGCTTTTCTGCTACTGAGTTTTCTAAATAGTTTGCCCCTGATGAAATGAGCTATAAAGATACTTTTCGGTTACTGATATTGGAATTATTTTCGTTATATGGACTTATGTTCATTGTATTCACAGAGAAAACACAAAAGCGTTATTGATTTCCTAGATCAAGAATCAGAAACAGGTTTATTGCCAGGTAGGCTAACACATACGAGGAATTGCTTTGGTGTGTATAGTGCATACATAGACACATTAAGATAAATACAATTGTAAGAAAAAGGGCCAAAAGTAGAACTATTATAAAAAACTATTTTAAAACTGTTATAACAATACAAATATAGAGAAATATTAACACAAAATATGAATATGCAAATAAAACTAAGTAAAGTAAATTGTGACAAAATACTCTCACAACATTCGCTATCTATGCACTTTTTAAATCTTATGTGTCTCAATTTGGATTCTTCCCCAAGTACACTGAATTTTCAACGTCATGGACACTTTTGTAGTGTGTGAATTATAACCGGGTAGAATTGTCGCGACTGTGCCCTCACCAGAAGTGAAGATTGCTGCTGTTAGCTGGATAGCTAATAATCATTGCTAGCTAGCTATCTGCAATCTTTCTCAGTACCAAATAGTTACATACTGCTCAATTAACACAACAGATCCATGGTGGCTTATTTTACACACCAGCATAGTTGTACGTTTATTGAATTAAGCCAAGTAAGTTAAATGTGAGAAGTGTGCAAAGTTACATTATTTACCTTGTTGACCATTATGAGTGAACCATGCAGGTACTCATAGTGCATTTTGCCATACTTCTCATTGGGACGCAATTGTGCTCTAAAAAAGCACGGTATTATAGAAGTTAGTGAACACACTGTTTCCACTACTAGCCTCCCCATCACTACAGCTACACCATGCACCAGTATCACTGTCTTTGTCTCTAATGGACACCATGTCCTTCAGGTGATGCACAGCACCAGTCGGAAGGTGATGGTGGTGAAGATCTACAAAAATGACGTGGACCAGGACAGCATCGTACGAGAGATCAGCCTGCTGCAGAAACTCTCCCACCCCAACATCGTCAGGTAACACACAAATAATCAGATTTCCCTCAACTCGTTCAGTCTCCACACCTTCCCACACACACTCCCACTCTTTCTGCACCTCCACAAACTGTAGTTTCACAGCAGCTAATATAACCAGAGTTACAGAGTATGATAGCATTAGATTTTGAAAATAAATAGTGGTATTTCTTCTTAAACAGAATGACTAATGTTCTTATGTAACCACAGATCTCTTGTGCCTGTGAAGTCCAATGGTGCTCACTGTTGTTACTTTGGTGTTTTAGTTACAGGACTGAGGCACAGGAACCTTGGCCTTGTCACTTACTGTACAGCGGTTACATAAAGGGTGAGGCCAGGCAGACATGATGTTTGCCTACGCAATCTTAATTTAGCCACTTAGCAAGGTTACAGTGGTAAGGTTATCAGAGAGCAGCTTATCTGTTATGTGCTTGGTACACGCCAGGAGCCAACGCAATACTGTTGCTAAAATCGCAGGTGAATACCGGTCAAATCCAAAGTATGGTGAAGCTTGTCATGCTGCCAGGTTGACTGCCAGTATAGGAGCCTTTCTGTTTAGTCCCAAGCCCAGTGAACAAAAGCTGCTTGACAAAGCTCGGAAAGTCTTAACCCTGCTCTTAAATGTGGAGAGGGTGTCTGCCTCCAGAACCCAAACTGGAAGCTAATTCCACAGAAGAGGAGCTTGATACACAATTCCCCAGTGGGACAGTAGTGTGTTATGAGCTCCTTAAGATTACATTACATGTTACTTGTTAGATGCTTTTATCCAAAGCGACTTACATACTCAATACTGTGGGCAATCCCCACAGGAGCAATTTGGGGTGAAGTGTCTCAGGGACACAACGACATGCTGACTGCAGTGGGGTTTGAACCTGTGACCATCTGATCCCCATACCAAGGCTCTATCCACTGCGCCAAAGCTGGGGAACAATAGTCTTGCAAGGGGGGGGGGGGAGAAAGGAGAAGAAGGGGGAAGAAGGGGGAAGAAGAAAAAAGAGGGAAAAGAGAAAAAGAGGAGAAAAAAGCGATTCTCTTGCTCCCTGTTTCCCTTCTGTAGCATGTAAAAGTATTTATATACAGAAGTACTTTAATAAAGACCAACAAAGTATGCGTTTGTTGACTAATACACTTGTGTTATGCAGTTAACTATTAACACATTTCTATTAAATATTATATATTTCTAATAAATATTAAGTAAAACGTATCTACTTCTTTCAAGTTTATTACATACAATTATTATTATTTTCTTTATCAGGGATAGTTTTGAAGTAACCAATATGGACCTGTATTGAAGCTCATGGTTTGTGTGCTGTGGATAAATAATGAAATGTAACCATTACATTTAATATGAACTAAGAAGGTATTGGTGTTATAATGTCTGTCTTTTAACAAACAAAGAGAAAACATATAGAAATTCTAAACATAGCACTCCACTCAATTATTGGACAGTCACATACTTGATAGAAACAAACCTTTATTTTAAAGTAGTTCAACTTAATAAAATGTAAAACAACCCTTAAAAGTAAGTAAGGTGCAGTATAACAAAATAACACTCTAAATTAGTTTTAACATCAAATAAACATTATCATAAACTTAATAAAATATATACATATCATATATATAAATAAATATCAAACTATACACCGAACTATATACATAAATAAGTGTCCAGTGTCCATGCCTCTGGTGGGGGGGATATACATGTTGTTATGTCCTCCAACCACTGCTCCTTTGGCACAATGTAGTTCACTACTCCCTGTACTGGCTGTGTCCAGTGTCCGCTGTCCCAAAGCTCCCACACCTTCACACGTGTTGGGCAGTACTCTGTGGGTCAGGGTGTGGCTGTATGGAGCAGGAGCAGGACTAGGAGCAGGACTAGGAGCAGGAACAGCAGAGAGAGGCTGGCATTCAGAGCCTGTGGAGCAGCGACCAGGACAGGAACCTGTGAGCTCACTGGTGTAAATATCATGGAGCCCAAAGGTGGAGCAGGGAAGAGCTGCAACACCACCTGTGAACCTGAGGGTGGAGCAGGGAAGAGCTACATCTCCACCTGAGGGCCAGAGGGTGGAGCAGGGAAGAGCTGCATCTCCACCTGAGGGCCAGAGGGTGGAGCAGGGAAGAGCTGCATCTCCACCTGAGGGCCAGAGGGTGGAGCAGGGAAGGGCTGCATCACCACCTGAGGGCCAGAGGGTGGAGCAGGGAAGAGCTACATCTCCACCTGAGGGCCAGAGGGTGGGAAGAGCTGCATCACCACCTGAGGGCCAGAGGGTGGAGCAGGGAAGAGCTGCATCTCCACCTGAGGGCCAGAGGGTGGGAAGGGCTGCATCTCCACCTGAGGGCCAGAGGGTGGGAAGAGCTGCATCTCCACCTGAGGGCCAGAGGGTGGGAACAGCTACATCTCCACCTGAGGGCCAGAGGGTGGGAAGAGCTGCATCACCACCTGAGGACCTGAGGGTGGAGCAGGGAACAGCTGCTCCACCTTGCTTTGATGCTTTGTGATCTGGAATGTGACAACAGCGAAGTTGAGGCATTTATTAGAAATGATCTATAGCAGTTAATGTTTCCAGATTTATAACCGAACACATTTATAATAAAAACTAGTTTGTAATGTTATTGTTTATAAGAGAGTTTAACGAACATGGAAATCAAATACACAGTCACGTTATATTTGACCTTTTTGGTTGAGTCCATCTTTAAGATGGAACCAAATATGGAGGTGGTGCTGGCCTTGATATGGTCCATGTGGGAGAGGATATCCCTGCCGTACATGGACAGCACCCAGAGACTGCTTGGGAGGAGGCTGGGCTCTGGGGGCTCCTGGCAGACCACAGGGAGGAGGCTGGGCTCTGGGGGCTCCTGGCAGACCACAGGGAGGAGGCTGGGCTCTGGGGGTAACTACTGGGGGTGTGATATAAAATGTATGCATGAGGCATTTCTTAATCTGAAACTATCATCATTATGTTTTAGTCTGGAGTGAGTCACTCAGTGTAAATCATTTGATTGATAATGTTTGCACCAGTAAATTGTAAATGTTCAGTAATTACTTATCATTTGTGAATAATAAGTAATAGGTACCACGCCTCCCTATCATGGTGCCTGACCATTGAGGGCTTTGTAGGCTGGGAGGCACATTTTTATTTATATTCTTTGTTTTATAGGGAGTCCCTTCAGAGTATGGAGCTATATCAGGGTCATAAGTTTTGGTCAACAATTTATTTGAAAGTTCAAGTTTTTATCCTGAACTTTGAAAAATACAATGATGTATTCAAAATAAAAATAAGTATTTGAAATAATTCTTTGGAATAAAATATTTATTTTCACATTTCACTTTTATACATATTTTGATATTTGAATCTGTTGGGGAAATATTTTCCAAGGCCCATAACTTTGACCCAGTGTATTAGTTCGTACTGTCCTGAGCACACGCAGCTGTAACCTTGGCTGCTGTGCTCTCAGTGTTCTGTCTCCCTGTTCCTGCCTGTTGGCGTCAGCTGATAGAGCTGTTATGATTCTATCTTGTTATGCACAATGTTGATATTCTCTCTGAACTAGCTAAATACATGGGTCTGGGGGAGAGTTCTTCAGAATTGACGTGGCAACTATACCGTGAAGTCTGGCTCTTGGACTTGTTTTGTGAATTCTCCGGCCAAAACTCGTAATAAACCATCAGTGTTTGACATCAAATCTCCAGCTCTATCCCGTGTCTCCTTCCTGAGTCGGTGACTCCCACTGCATTGCTACACAGAAGTTTCTCCCACAGAATCCTTATTTTTTTTCAGTTGCAGATTTTACGTTTCCAGATTCAAAACAGTTATTTTTTCAGTTTTAAATCTTGTTTTTTCAGGTTTCACCATTCTTTTTGCCTTCAGATATTTTTTCACTTTCAGATATATATTTTTTCCGCTTTCAGATATATATATTTTTCACTTTCAAACTTTTGGCTCTGATGTTGCTTGGGGGGCGGTGCTTACCAAAGAGCAGTTTGGCATCCTGAGTGACAGGCCCCCCTCTGTCATGTTGCCTTCATGGATGTTAGGTAGCGCGAGAAATATAACTCGACACTTTCTATACACAATACTCACGTGATTGGTGGTAAACAAAACTGATACCAGCGTCAAAGCAGAGGGCACCGAGCCTTCGCAGCAGCTGGCCCTAGGCTCTGGAACACTCTGCCCCTCCATGTGAGGTCGGCCCAGACCCTAGGGGTTTTTAAATCTAAACTAAAAACACACTTCTTCTCTCTGGCTTTCTAGTTAGAGCGGAGCACGACTCCTGACTTTTGTGTGTTTTATTTTTATTTTGTTTTTAAGATATATCTGTTGTAATTTATTGTCGTTTACTGTGTTTGTAGTAATTGTGTTTTTATTACATGTACAGCACTTTGGCTTGACCAAAAATCGCTTTTAAATGTGCTATATACATAAAACCTGATTTGATTTGATTTGAAAGTTCCGTTAAGTGAGCTGTTGAGCATCGTAGTTGGCAACAATCGCGGTATAAGAGCAATAAACTGTTCTAGAATGTGAAATTACGTATCCGCAACGAGCCAGCAGGTTGTTCTGGTGGACCTGACGCCATCCCCCGCTGTCTCACGGAGAGATACCGCAGGTCCTTCCTTCCTTCCTGCAGCGGTCAGACTATACAACCACCACGGCCCCTAGTAGACCCCCCCCCTCCCCACACGACAACACAGACTATAACACCCCTTGCTGTTAAATACCAACTAGGCTTTTTTTTTAATGATCAAAACTTATGACCCTGATATAGGTCCATATCAGAGCAGCTAATACAGGAGTAATGTGCGTACTCAAATCAAAATGTTGATTTTCTTATAAAATATTTCCAACAATACACAATTTCATGCTGTTTGTAATAACTTTTCCTTTAATATTAAATATTATGTGCATGCCTTATGGGCTTAGATATGTCTCATAATTATTTGTGTGAACATAAAAATAATATATTGTGTGTAAATATGTGATTTGTAAATGTAAAACACCATCCACAAATGCATTTAAAAGATTAGCAAACTCACAAATAAATTTGCAAATATAAAACGGATCTGCAAATACGCAAAATATTTTTACAAATAAAAAAAAGATCTTTGAATATCTCTTTAACATTGACAACTTTCGATCAGGCATTTGTGAATCCATTTTGTATTTGTCGACCAAAAATGCACTTGTGGATCTCACATCTCTGCTCGTGGATCTCAAATCTCTGCTTGTGGATCGTCTTTTTACACACACAGAGTTTTGAGACATACTTTCCGCCGGTCTCGGTTAAAATCTACTCGTGTCACTCGGTTATTTTCGGAAACCACGTGATGGCCTGCTGATGACGACATTTCCGCATGGTTTTCAAAGTAAGAGCATGGCTTGTTTAATACGCTGTTTTTTTAATGAACAGCGGAACGTTAGATGCATTCTTTATCACCATCATCATCATGTTATAGTGATACAGTTTAGTTTGTGTTAGTTTATTAGTTCAACTTTCTTCATTGTTTTTTGTGTATTCAGTCAAGCGGGTCAAAGTTACAAAGCACTTCACATCTTATTAATCGGCCTAGTTTTACCTTACCAGTGCAGTGGTAAACTAATCTGTAGAAAAGCACCATATTTAGGTCAGCCTTCATAGTAATAATATTCATCGTGTCCTTTCTACTGTATATGCATATATTCCTGTCTATTGCTTTCATTTGTATTTAATGTTATTATGTTTATACTTGTTTCCACACATTTCACAATTAGGGATGAATTAAGTATCTATCTATCTATCCATCTATCCATCTATCCATCTATATATAGTAGTGCTAGTGGAGCCTCGCAGCGGCGAAACCGTGCCGCACCACACGAATTGCGCCGCATAAGCGCATAGGTGCGTCACATTTTCGGCTCAGTTGAGGCACCCTCCTCAAGATGAGGCGCCCTCCGCAAGGTGAGGCCCCACGCAGTCTGCATGATCGGCCTGTGGGGAAGGACGGCCCTCTACCTACCTACCTACCTACCTACCTACCTACCTACCTACCTACCTATACCTACCTACCTACCTACCAACCTACCTACCTACCTACCTACCTACCTACCTACCTACCTACCTACCTACCTACCTACCTACCTACCTACCTACCTACCTACCTACCTACCTACCTATACCTACCTACCTACCTACCTACCTATACCTACCTATACCTACCTACCTACCTACCTACCAACCTACCAACCTACCTACCTACCTACCTACCTACCTACCTACCTACCTACCTACCTACATTTTTCAAATTATGAATTTCACATAATTAAAAAAAAAAGCATACATTTCTTGGGGTTGCTTAGCAGTTGCTAGGCCAATTGTTGGTGTTGCTGTAGCAACTGCAAGCTACCGCCTGGCGCCGCCCCTAGATAGATAGATAGATCGATAGATAAATACTTCATTCATCCCAAATTGTGAAATGTGTGGAAACAAGTATAAACATAATAACATTAAATACAAATGAAAGATATATATGCATATACAGTAGAAAGGACACGATGAATATTATAACATTTAATGTAGCCTTACTATGAAGGCTGACCTAAATACGGTGCTTTTCTACAGATCACCTTACCACTGCACTGGTAAGGTAAAACTAGGCCGATTAATAAGATGTGAAGTGCTTTGTAACTTTGACCCGCTTGACTGAATACACAAAAAACAATGAAGAAAGTTGAACTAATAAACTAACACAAACTAACTGTATCACTATAACATGATGATGATGGTGATAAAGAATGCATCTAACGTTCTGCTGTTCATTAAAAAAACAGCGCATTAAACAAACCATACTTTACATTACTTTGAAAACCATGCGGAAATGTCGTCATCAGCAGGACATCACGTGGTTTCCGAAAATAACCGAGTGACACGAGTAGATTTTAGCCGAGACCGGCGGAAAGTTTGTCTCAAAACTGTGTGTGTAAAAAGACGATCCACAAGCGCATTTTTGGTCGACAAATACAAAATGGATTCACAAATGCCTGATCGAAAGTTGTAAATGTTAAAGAGATATTCAAAGATCTTTTTTTTATTTGTAAAAATATTTAGTGTATTTGCAGATCCGTTTTACATTTGCACATTTATTTGTGAGTTTGCAAATCTTTTAAATGCATTTGTGGATGGTGTTTTACATTTACAAATCACATATTTACACACAAATTATTTTTATGTTCACACAAATACTTAAGAGACATATCTAAGCCCATAATGCCTTTTATCTAGTGATTCATTTTTTCTCTCTATCTTTCCTTTGCTGTAACAATGTAAATGTCCTCTCTGTGGGATGAATAAAGGTATTCTGAATCTGATGTTTGAAATAAAATGTAATACATCGAAAACATTTATAAAAACTACAGGGATGTTTTTAGGAAGTTAGTAAGCCAGGTTTTCAAATATGTATTTCTCCAGTAGAGATGAAGGACTTTTAGTTTGAGAGCCACCGACACGGAAGTCACACGCTAAGGACTGACTAACAAACTGTTTATATGAGAAATGTCTTTAATCATTAATCCTTTATTAAACGCTCTTATCAAATTTCCTTGATAAACTAAACTAACTCATAATGAAGGTGGACGATAAATAATATAACAAACACATTTTCTTTTATTCCAGATATCTTGGAATCTGTGTGAAAGAAGACAGACTCTATCCAATCTTAGAGGTGATCTCTACTCCTTTTTTTATTTTCACACCTCATGAGTCATGGTTTCTGTGCGTGTTCACAGGCAGTGGAAAAACACTAGAGATTACAAAGATATGAGATGATATTGATAATAAAACAGTTATTGTGCAGCCAGACATGGAGTCATTGCTAATAATAAGATAGGAAATGTTATGTTCACATAATCACATTTGTAGCTTTTCTTTGAATTGCAACAGTTTTACAGTTTAACTGCTCAGTTTGTATGCATCCTGGTTAGGTGTATGTTTGCCTTGTGTATAACCTGGTCCTGTTTGTTGCAGTATATGAACGGGGGCTGTCTGGAGGAGCTTCTGGTCGGGAAAGATGTTCCACTGTGCTGGAGAGAGAAGGTGGAGCTGGCCTGTGATATAAGCAGAGGAATGATCTACTTGCACTACAAGAACATTTACCACAGAGACCTCAACTCCAAGGTAAGAGCCTCCACCTCTGCCCCCCTAGTGCCCCCAGGCATCATTAAAGGGTCGTCTCATCCTTTATACCTGACCTGTAGTTCATACACAATATAAGAGCAGTAGGACAGATGGAGAACCTGAGAACAGGATGACACCATCAGAGCCTGAACTCAGACCTTCATTACTTGTGACTCTGGAGCCCCCTGGTGGCCGACACACTGAGGACCTGACGATGAACCTTTGTTTCATCAACCACTCTCTTTTTGTCATTCTATTTCCTGTCTAGATAGAGAACAACTTTATTTATCCCAAAATTGGGAAATAATTGTTGTTCCAGCAGCATGTAAGCATTACACAAGTTACATTTACATTACATACACAAAGTTTAAAAGTCTCAAAATGCTACAACTACTGTCACAAACTGGATGAATGTGAAGTATTTTGTTAAAGGAGGATGAAAGCGTAATTAAGGAGCACTATTGGAGTGACTTTGATGGTTATTGGACTCAGGATTAATTCATTTGGATTCCCGCTGTATGAAGAAATTAAAGGACGGCGCAAGTGGAAACAATTCACAAAGGGATTCAACTGTTTAAAACACATGTTCAAAGTAAGCCGGATTTTGCCGATGTGTTTATGTGGATACAAAAGTCGTAAATAATCTACAAAATGGAGGAGACCGATCTGATCGGAGCAACTGTGACAAATAATCCAACTGAAACCGGCATGGACAATGACTATGTTTTAAAAATGCGCTTATCCAGAAAAGCCTGGTTTGGACACTTTACGGGCAGAAGAAACATTTCTATTAAAGAAAGAATTATACATTTCTGTCTTTTTATGCCTATAATAGCTACTAACTTGAATTTTTATTCAAATTAATTAATCAATTATTTTTTATATTTTATTGTAATGTAGAGACAAGGCTTTTAGTGACAATCATGTATTGCGTTACAATTATATGTAAAAAAAAAAGTCTAAATATGATATTTGGCCTCAAATCATCTGAGGCCTGGCGCCCCCCCCTGCGATCTTTGGCGCCCCCCAGGTTAGGAACCACTGCTTTAGGAGACATCTAAGTAGCTTTGGGAGCTGTCTATGTGTGTTGTAGAGTGAGTAGGTGTGTGTTGTGGAGTGTATAGGTGTCTGTTGTAATTGAATATCCCGCCAGCAGAGGGCGTTGCTGGCCTAACAGTCAACAGCCTTGCCAACTGTGTGTGTGGTGTGTGTGTGTGTGTGTGTGTGTGTGTGTGTGTGTGTGTGTGTGTGTGTGTGTGTGTGTGTGTGTGTGTGTGTGTGGGTGTGTGTGTGTGTGTGTGTGTGTGTTGTGTGTGTGTGTGTGTGTGTGTGTGTGTGTGTGTGTGTGTGCCAGGCTGAACAGAAACGGGGGGTTAGTTATAGTTATATGAGCACAGGTGGAGCCCCCTACTGGACTCTATGGGTACTACTCTCAACAATGCTATGCGAGCATTCACACACTGAGTTTGTATAAACGTAGCCAGCCAATCAGGGCGAGCCTACCTGAATGTGCGTGCAGGCACACAGTATATAAGGCGGCCACGCCTCCTGATCCTGTCATCCTACACCCTCTTCAGCGAGCGGCATAGGAAAGACAGGGCCCCTCTACTGGACTCTATGGGTACAGTGGGTGGAGCACTGATGGATAAATGCCCTGTCGTCCAACAACATCGACCCATCACACTGCCCCTGACCGGCCTTTGGTTAACAGCCACCGCACCCCAACTGCCTCTCATCCGGTTGAGACCATGGAGAAGTCGGGGCTGCAGCTTACTTGGCTGGGTAGAGCACACTCACACACGCTTACCTCGTGTAGAGTGTGCATGGAAAATAGTGAAGAAGGCTCTCCCCGCCCGCCCACAGGCAGGCGGAGAGAGTCTTCAGCCCTGCATGTGGCTTACCGTGCACCATGTTTCCCGGGTCCCTAAGGAGCATGGGGAGAACATAAGTGCATTATGTCCAGGGGGGGGGTCAGATACCTACTGACCCACAGCCCCCCCCCCCCCTCACCAGTCCTGTGTTGCCCCAGCAAGCACAGACGATGAAAAGGAGCCAGACATGTCCAAGAGATAAAACCTTATGAAGGGGCCTGGCGTAGACCAAGACGCCGCCGTGCATATGCCCTCCACACTCACGCTGTTGAACAAAGCTGTTGATACAGCCATACCACGTATAGAGTGTGCATGGACCCCAGTGGGGAAGGCTCTGACAGGATGGCTCTGCGAGTGCATTTCCCATGCCTATGGACAGGCGTTTCTTGGACAGAGCTTTACCGGCCACACCATCCCAAAAGCACACAAACAGCTGTTCAGTGCGCCTAATGGAAGCCGTGCACCCTACATAACATGCCAGCGCACGCACCGGGCAGAGGAGGTGCAATTTAGCCTCCCTGTCCCCAATATGGGGTGGAAGACTAAATCCGTCTAACTGTATAGCCCTCGACCTGAACGAACTCCTTAGGTTCTTGGGAACAAAGGATGGGTTCGGTCAGAGTGTCACCCCACTACAGTCACCCCGAATCAAAAGGAAACTCGGGTACACCGACAGAGCGGTCAGCTCGCACACTCTCTTGTCCGAAGTCAAGGCAAACAGCAAAGCTGTTTTCAATGATAGTGCCTTCAGGGAGGAGAGCTCCAGAGGCTCAAATGGTTCTGTGACCAGAGCCTCGAGCACCAACGGCAGATCCCATTGCGGGGTGGAGACATGCACCACTGGGCGCTGTCTCCTGACCCCCTGCAAACGCGCCATAAGCGGTTGACTAAAGGCTTACCTGCGCCCCCAATCCCTCATGGCAGGACGAGATGGCTGCTGCATACACCTTAATTGTGGAATAAGCAAGCCCCCTGTCCACCAGTATCTGTAAATACGACAGAATAGAGCCCAACGTACATGATAGAGGCTATAGACTCCTTTCTTCACACCACCGCTGGAATCCCAATCACTTCGTACCACCGAGCGGCGACCTGGGGCTAACAGGATGACTGACAATCGTTCTCGTCTCACCCTCTCCAGGAGGGGGAGAATGAGACGCAGCGGTGGAAAGGCATAGAGCAGCTTTCTTGGCCATGGCTCGTGTGCAAACACGTCCACCCCCAAGGGTGGATTGTCCTGCCGAGCCAGGGAAAACCATAGGGTACAGTGGCTGTTGCGCCGGTTGGCGAACAGGCCACCTCCCCTTTCCCGAACTGCCCAGATCTGCTTCACCACCTCCGGGTGAAGCAACTGTCACGGATGCCGTGATGTAGGAGGTCACCCGCACCAGTGGAGTTCCCCTCCGCAGATACTTTGGGGACCCCCAGTATCGGAGGTTGCTCTCCACTGAGGGGGGGGCAAGGTCACCAGACGTCGTTTGTGGCTCTTGGGATCTAAACGAAGGCCGGCAAACCATCTCTGCAGGCGACGCATATGCAGTAACCCCAGCGGTACCACGAGGTGAGCAGCCGCCATGAGACCCAGAGTCTGCATGATGGTCAAAGCTGTCACCGTTGCCCCCTGTCGCAGTCTGCAAACTGCCTGAAGCAGGGATGCCTATCTGCTCTCTGACAGGGTGGCACGCAGTCTGCCTGCATCGAGCGAAATCCCCAGATACTCCACCTGCTGGTGAGGTATGGGACTGCTCTTCTTCCAATTGACCACAATCCACTTGGATCAATTAGGCTGTGTTTGCCCCTTCCCTGGACCTGGCCATGACTATGAGGTCGCATTAGAAAACCCTCATGCCATGGTCGCGAAGCGGCTTAAGCGCTGTGGCCACACATTTGCTGAACGTGCGCGGGGATAGGGAGTAGCCAAACGGTAGTCTGTTGTACTCGTAGGCTACCCCCTGGAAGGCAAAACGCAAATACTTTCTGTGTTTTGGAGCAATTTTCGACATGAAAGTAAGCGTCCTTCAGGTCGATGGTTGTGAACCAATCGCCCGGCTGCCGTAGTTCCAGTAATTGGTTTACATATGGAACTTTTCGCAGGCAATGTGCTGATTCAGGCTGCGAAGATCCAGTATGGGTCTGAATTCTCCTGTCTTCTTGGGAACCAGGAAGTACATGGAGTAAAGCCCCTTTTCTCTGTCCTGAGAGTGCACTACAGACACAGCCTGTTTTTGCAACAGGGCCTGAATCTCTGTTGAAAGGAAACCGATCTCCTCCTGGGATGATAGATTTGCCTGAATGGAGGAGGGACGCCGCAAAACTGGAGTGAGTAACCCAGTCTCAGTGTCCTGTCCATCCACTCTGTCAGTACACAGCTGAGCTTCCATTCCCCATAAAATTGTGTTAGGGGACATGCAAGCAGCTGTGGAGCCGCAGCTAAGAAGCTGTAGTACTCTCTGGTGGCCTACTCCGCTGCAAAACCTTACATAAAAGGAAGTTTGGCCCATGGGGTGCTGACACAGAAAGGGCCGATTTTCTACTGAGGTCCTTGAACACACCGCGGCACGCTCTTGTGGGGCCGCGGCTCCGTCATAATGCCGTCTCTTTGAAATGGACATTATGGGGAAATGTGGAATTGTGGAGAGAGATGACTCTTACTCTGGTTTTATCGTTTTTACTGAATGCATTTTTCACACACACATCACTCTAGAACTAGGGTTACAATACGTAACCCACTGTTCTTCTGCGGAGGTCCTTGAACGCACCGCGGCCACTCTCACGTGCCTTCGTATTAACGCTGTGTTTCACATTCAACGGTGAAATGCATTAATCGGAGCTATTATACCAGGCAAGGTGTGTTTTCTGACAACAGCACACCGGCAATAGCGTATTTTGAACCCGCACAGGTTTATTCCACTCACGTGCGCGCGCCCACCTGCTGCTTCCTTTACTGGAGTTACAGTGGGGCGGCCGGTGTGGGACAGTGTTCTGTCCTCTGAGGATGAGCAAGAAGCAGCATACGCCAAGCTGCGACTACTCCTCATCCACGTGACCAAGGAAATCGATCCAAAGAGCCCTTCTGTAGACACGGGGGCTCCCAGGAGATCATCATGGTTTTTTTTCTGGTTTTTTTGT